ATACGGCGTTGCCTTTAATCGTGTGCTACATTTGAAGAGGTCGTAGATTTTACCTTGGGGAAACTGACAACTCACTTTGCTTGACATTTCACATCCTCCAGGAACTTCTTCTGTTCTGCAATGAGGTGTTCCTTCTTGGAGAGGAGGGTCTCCAGCTCAGAGGCTCTCTGGTGTGCTGCCTCAAGTTTCTGGCCCTGAACCAGCAGGTTCTGTCTCAGAGACTCCATCTCCTCTCTATAGGACACCTGCAGCATCCGGGCTTCATGGGAGGAGGGCTGCTGCGCATCACAGGAAATGTGGGAGGAAAAAAAAAAACAAAAAAAAAAACAAGGATCAATGCCTTGGGTGTACATTTTATTCTCTACGACAATCCATATCCTTGAAGAAGACATCTTGCCAGCACACCTTGGTATTATCTGCACCTACATACTGCAGTTCCTGCATGGACAGTTTGTGTGCCTCCCCGAGGAGCAGCAACTGTTTGTTCAGGAAGCTCATTCGTTGCTGGGTGCTCTCACTGTTGCTTAACTGAAGGATGCATCAGAAAAAAAAAAAAAAAAAAGATGACAGAGGTCAAGAAAGGGAACTGCAGTTGACCCCCGCACACTGTTCACCATTCACGGGTTCACATATTTGTGTCTTAAAACAAAAAACACGCACGCACATGTATTTCCTGAATCAACACATGCTCTAGAATAACGCAAAACCTCAGAAGCAAAAATATAAATAAATAAATAAATACTTCCACAGACACCTCCACATGTGGTTGACCCCAAATCACAGAATAAGGGGCATCGCCAAGGCAACCGAGCCTGCCCGAGACAATCTGCTGTCTGTTGTTTAGCTGGATGAAAAATATAAGGCAAAACGCCTGCTTGCCTCGTTACTGTCCCACACATTGTTTTCTTTTTTAATTTTTTTCCCCTCCGGAGAAAGAAACTCAGGCAACCTTTGGTCATCTCATTAGGATGGTTTTCACGTCTGCATCCTAAAAATGCGCCTCCAAAACAATGAAATGGCAAACCACTGCTGACAAACAGTCGTTCTGACGCAAACATACAACATTGAACCACACATTAAAAACGTTTACCTTGATGCTCATCTGTTTGAGCAGGTGCCCAGTGTGACAGACTCTGTTATTTGCCCCCTGAAGCTCCGCCTCTAACTCACCCAGCCTTTTCTGACACTCCTGTAACTTGCTCTGCGGACACAGAAAAAGAAGGCCTGAGAAAGAATTCTAAAGCTCGACAATCAGCGGACACAGTGTGTATGATAGTACATACCTGGAGGTCCTGGTTCTTGGTGTAGTACTCGTCTCGCCCCTGCTGCAGCTGTCTGATCTGACTGTGCAGACGGGTCACCACAGTCTCTCGGTCGTCCCACAGCTGCCTGTAGCGCTGCTGCTCCACCTGCAAACTCTCCCTCAGAGACGAGATGTCCACGCTTTGCAGGTTCAGCTGGTCCTTCTACAGAGATTCGAGCGACTTTATATAGGTTAAGGAAATACGACGACTCCCTAGATCAGATCGACACTATGTGACAGCTAAAATGCGAAGTGTGATGAAAAGCACACAACATTTGAGTCAACATAAACACTCATTGTGCAAATGAAGTGCTCAGTGTCAACGCGCTTCCCATGACTTCGTTTGAGCAAAGAATAAAGTCTTAATTTTGAACCAAGCTTTCCAGCTTCATGTGCTACTCGGGAATGCAAAGAAGGGAAGGAAAACAGTGCTGTCAAAATGACTGCGGCTTATGAGAAGACTTAAAAACACATTTGTGGGTCTCATTGTTTGGAATGCACAGACAACTGTCTGCTATTCTGATTTACGATCAGCGACACGGCTCATGCACACTGACCATGGCGTTGTTCTGCTCTTCGAGTGCGGTGGCGTTGATGATGCGTCGCAGGAGGCGTCTGTTGCGGACGGCGTGCTGCTCTCGCTTGTAGCGCTCGTACAGCAGCTGGTTGTGCAGCAGGAGCAGCTGGCTCCGCAGCATGTGAAGCTCGTCAGATGGAGCCGACCCTGATTCAAAAGGGAAATTTAAAAAAAAAAAATGACAACATTCATACAGAACAGCGAAGGAGCTCTTATGTTTTAACTGTAACTATGTCTACTGTGGCTCAGAATCGAGCTGTCTCGTCATGTCATCTTGTGTGGATCTTCATATTTTGCAATATTTTGTTGATAACCAATATAGACATTCACCCTCCATAAATCCAGACATATATGCTTTCACATCTGTTTAAAAATATGAGATAATACGTTTGTAATGCAGCTCAGTACACGGCAACCATGAGGTCACGGGGAAAAAAAAATTCTCATTGCTCCGCTTTATGCATACATGGCAATTTTCCGCGGATCCGCGGAAATCCGCCGTTTTATTTCTTAAATTGATCATTTTTGTGAATCGTCTAAATCCGTTGAGAAAATTTTAGGGGCGGTCAGGTACCTTATCGTCGAGTTTTCACGAGCTCTCCCGAACAGTTTCTCCGTTTTCCGTTTGTAAACAGCCCTGCGATTGGACGTGTATGAAAGCTTCAACTAATCAGATCACTGAAGGCATTATTTGTTGCGGAAGTCTTAGCTCGATTATAAACAGCCCAGCGATTGGTTAACTACAAGCGATTGGACCAATCAAATTGCATGTAACATATTGTTTTACCTGATTCATGGCGGCCTGTTCGTCTCGCAAATTCATTGTTCTGGGATCGTTTTGAGCGGAATTATGAAATTTTTGACGAAAGATCAGGAGTCTTTAATCCTAGAAATTGACTCAAATGTCAAGAATAAATTCCGATAGGACTGGCTTGACAGAAAAGTCACTGTAAAGGTTAAAATTGGTTCCAAGTTCGACGAAGTTACAGAAGCTCTTGGACAATAAGCTTTGACGTAGCAGGCAAAGCTTATTGTGTGTATTGTAGTGACTTAATTAACTATGGCTCACGTGGATGCGTTGCACTGACAGATCATGCAACAAAAGTGAAAAAACATGCCGACAAAATCGCCATTCGACGGAGCAATTATCCTTTGGGATCGGCATTTTTCAATCAAACTTCGTCAGCGGATACAACTAAAGACGTTACGCGCTAGGGTACTTTGGCTGAACCAAGCAACGAAATCTGCTCCAC